AGATCTTTACAGCAGAAGATCCATATGGTGACGTAACGGTAGCAATAGCCAGGAAAAAGGTTAACTTCATATTGTATTCTATAGAAACCGTTTCTGGCAGTAAGAGAGAAACCTGGCTCTGCAATAGGCATTGTTGTTTTTGGAAGAGCCTGCTCAAACTCAAAGTTTAATTGGCAGTAGAAAGCTTCTTTTTTTTTGCAAAAGGTTGACAAGAGTATCGCTAGCTGCGGTGATATTTTGTATGTTTTGTTTTCTATCGTTGCATCATCAACAGTTGCGAAGGTACCCTGCCCATACGAAAATTCATGATTGACTATTGACTGCTGATTCAACATGTATATACATTTTTTCATATCATTTTCTACATATTTGTTGTTTTGCTAGAAGAGAGAAATGGAACATTTATACTCTTGTCCAAATATTGCTGCAGTTCGTAAGCTAGAACTTGTGCAACAAAACAATGTGAAAGAGGATAATTGCACAAGAAGTCACTAAGAGCGTAATCAAGGTTAACAATAGACTACTTACAGGTCATAGAAGGTCAACTCAACGTTTTCCCTAAAGAAACGCCAAAAGCAATAGTTGAGTTAGTCAACGAAAAAATGTGGAACAGAGATCCGGAAAAAAGGACAAACATGGAAAAGGTATGCACTTCCTTTCTTCGTCTGTGTAGAATAATCATGGTAACGTCGTGTAAGCGTAGGGTTTACGACACGAGAGCATTTATTTTATTCTTCTAAAGACCTGTAAACCGTCTGTGTTAACCAAAAACTTTGATTAATGTTTAAGGAATCAGTGACACAATAGGGTAGATGCCAACCACAAAGTAATACACCCCATGTAGGCATTCTTGATATCATAATTTCTACGAAAATAATTTCCCTTATTCCCTTATCATAATGAGCGTTTCCTCAAATACGGCCCAAGCCTTTCAGAAGATCTTTTTGACTACTTGTCTAAGAAAAACCAAATCGACTCGCGAGTTTTCTGTAATTACTGAATTATATTTGTTTTTGAACAAACTTCTTGCTATAAACTTTTCGATTAAACCTTATCAAGGGTATGCATCTTTGAGGGATTAAGTATAGCTTCCGTAAAAGGACCAATGAATTCTAGGTGGCCGAATTTTTCGAACATTTTTCTGGTCTTGTAGCAGCAACAAAAGATTACGTAGAAAGTCCTATATCACAGGTAATCTTTGAATTTTCATAGAATTTCATGGGAAAGATTTAGGGCTCACTGATCTTTTATAGCTTGGTAGAAACCCATTGCTTCACAGTCCCATTTGAAATTCTGCTGCTTTAAATTTAGTTACAAGCAGCTGACAGAAGAGCACCTATTTCTCTGTCGACGTTTTGAACAAACATGCACTTCCTACAAAACCAAACGCGAAAAAATAATTTGGC